ACAGACTTTTAAATCTAGTATTAATGTTATAAATTACTGTTTTTGGATTTTTTTTTATTCTTTAAATTCCATTATGTGAATTACGCGTACTTTGAGAAGAGATAGTCTCAGCAAATCTCTTAGATCATGTAAAAATAAATGAAAAGATTTTCTTAATTCTTGTCATTTAAACCATTAAATGTATTTAATGTAGTACATAGTTAAACATTTGCATATCTAGGTACTAAAAGGCGTATTACAGAGCTGCCTGCTGAAAGCAAAATTGCATGTAATAAATATAATGAAAATAAATTACTTGGTATTATATATATGTGTATTTTATGTTGTAGTATGTGACATTGCTATATTTGTTTATTAGACGAATGATGTGCTTAATTCACTACTCCATTATTAAATAGTAAAAAATATAGAAATGAATAGTATTTCTTTATTCAAATAACCTTTAAACTATGCATTTTTAAATAGTCATACTTGTATTTTCCTAATCTTCCGCCCATTTGAAAGGCTGTCTCATCACAAAAGGAATGAGAAAGAAACTTGCGTGTTGCTCTTTAAAATAATTGTTGCAACTACATTTTTAAGTTGTACCAATGAGCGCTAATTTATTAGAGTCAAAATATTAAATACACACTCAACTGACTAACGATATACGATTAAATTAGTTATAGTGATTAGAACAGACTAAAAACAGCACGTCGTTCACGAGTATTTTTAGTATTCATTCACTGTCGTCTTTTCATATTGTACAAAGCTATGTATGAGACTATTAATAGAAAAGATTACATTTTACAATAACAATCGTTTAAAAATAATGAAAATTAAAAATGTAATTAAAAGGTTCCCATGATGCTAGCCGCATTTCTGTGTTCCGGAAAACTTGGTTTCTTATTTGGATTACTTGTGAAGTATCTTAATATACCCCACGGCATAAATTATGCCGTAAAGCTTACTAACAAGACAGTAATTGTGACTACATTTGCGTGTGTAGCAAACGCAATATTGGTTAGGGCAATAGGGACAAGTGCAAGTCTAGTCTAGCACTAAAACATAATCTAAATTCTTTGTTTTTAACCGAGGACCTTTTAAAAAATAAATTTTGTGTGTCTCTCTCTCACCTATTACAGTCACTATAGGCTTACTTTATAAGATGTGTTGCGGTTGTAGGGTAATATATGACAGTGAAATTAAAGGATAAGAGTTCCCTTATTGAAAAATTCCATGCTACAGTCTTCTGAGAAAACCTCGGTAGGTAGTTCATTGCACAATCTAAGTGTACGCGGGAGGAAGCTGCTCTGAAACCGCACTGTCCGAGACCACTTAGGTTCTAGCGAGATCAGGATAATCGAGAACATAAAAAATGTTGCCGCTTTCCACATCATATCTCAATTATAGATTTCATGTATCTTAATTAATGTAATGCACGGATAATACCTAACATGAATTTAGAAATATAGCAATAAAATACACTGAATTGCAGAAATTTCTAAATGCACCACTTATAGAATAGGCACAAATACGTACGTATACAATTTCGCTGAAATTAGGTATTTACAAAGGCATTATTCATTTCAACAAAACGATATCAACCGTCACGGACCACGGTACACGAACAATGTAATAATAATATAATATATAAGTATTTCACAGTAGGTATGAAACTGTTTACACACGACACTAAAATCAGGAGCAATATGGGAGCAGTGGTGGAGAGCGTTATTTAGATTTATATTACGCATTATTTATATGCAATAAAAAAATACGGCCAATAATAAATACAATTATATAAAACTTATATAAAATATTTGACTATAGGTACAAACTCAGCTATTGCTCGACTGATGTGCATCTGAGCTGATGCTGGCATACTTTATCAGTAAATAACTACTGATACTCGCATGTTTTTTTTATGATTATGGAATGGTTGCTAACGGTTTACGCTGGTGGGGCACCAGTGGAGGATTAGATGAATATGAGGCCAGGTCAGTCAGGCGCATCGTAACAAATGCACCAAGAATTCATCACGATAGTTTCTTGGGGAAACCGCGTGAATGACCTGACATGGTATATTACTGGCATTGAAGTCAGTCCATATTATTAACAATCTTCTTATGCCCCACTGGCATATGTATGACATCTACACCATAATAAGTTTCTGTTATCCAATAACTTGTTGAATATTGTTGGGGGTAAAATCGAATCGGTAGGTACGTTTTGGGAAATCGGCACTGATGAACTGAACAAGGTCCAGGGCGCTCTTGTATTCAGGGCGATTATTGTATCATGTGTAGGCTGTAAGTGAGTATATACGGAGACTCAATTTTACTTTCACCACCACTGCTCCAATATTACCCCAAACTTTTGTGTCGTGTGTAGGGCGTTTAATCCAGGTTTGCATGATGGGGTGACGTGCGGCGCGCCCACCCAGTTGTAATAGCATTTTCACCAGCATAAATCAAGTCATAGTTCGCAATTGCATGTTAATTCTCATAAACTATTTTTATAGAAACAGAATCTATTATCTTCACGGCCTCGGTGTTTTAGCTGTTTTGCACACCGTCTTACTTCCAACGGTCACAGGTTCGATTCTCGCTAGATCATCTAGAAGTTTTTAATGTGATAACTATGCTGCTGTTTATGTGTATAGATTACGGTTTCCGATTATCATTAGGGCCATCTAATCTAATCGTTACTTGTAGTTTGTTTGCCCTTTCAGTTACATGAACAATTTATGCTACGCCTGTTGTACCCAACATGTGTTCCCATTCCGGAAGACTATGAGGTCATGCCTAAGTATCTTGTAATTCCACATTTCTCCTGTTATAACTAAAACACGACTTATAAAGCTAGATTAAGCAGACGACTTTATATAAAAAGTCTACCATTGTATTGAATATATATAAATAAGTAGCTGTTACCCACGACTTCGTACGCGTGTACAAAAAACTTATTTTTTATTAAAATAAATGAAATCTATACATATAAATAAAGTTGGAGCGTCTGTTTGTAATATTGAAATAACCATTTTTTACTACATGCATATACATACACCAAAATAACATTTTTTTAAATTTTTGTCTGTCTGTCTGTTTATTCCGGCTAATCTCTGAAATGGGTAGACCGATTTTGACGGATGGACTTTTATTGGCAAGTGGCTCATGTAAGGAGTACCTTAGGATACTTTTATTTTAGAAAATAAAGTTAAATTCCACACGGACGAAGTCGCGGGTACAGATAGTTTTAAAAAAAAATAGCCTAAGTTACCTACTCCTTATATATAATATTAGCTATCTGAGATTGAAAGTCAAGCAAAAATCGTTATTCCGTTTTCGACATTACCAAGAAAAAAAAGACACACAGACAAACATTTTATTAAACTAACTTTTTGATACAGGTACCCTATACCTATATTTTGATATTAGTGAAGAGCAGTTAATTTGAAATAACAAATAGACACTTCAATTTTATTTATGTGTATGTTACTTCCTAAATAAAGCACTAACAATAAATAACGAATAAACATTTTTTATTTATCAATCAACCTTTGCAAAAATATACCAACTTACTTCGGTAGTGGACGATTTCCTGTTGTTTATATTCGCATTTCTTTATGTTCACTTTTAGTGGGGTTTTATTGCAACGTAGTTTTCGCTTCGTACATGATATATCGCCCGCGATTCCACATATTAACACTCCAAATACACCATTGCTCTATCGAGTATGTTCTTATTTTCTGTTCATCATAAATTACGTAACAAATTAGGGGGTATAAGGGGTAGGACGAAATAAATGTGACATGGTGTGACAAGGGGTTGAACTTTAAAATACAATCAATAAATCTAAGTACAGATACAAAATTTCAACTATTAATACTTAAAAATATTTTTACTAATTTAATAAAATTTGCAAGATTAAAATTTAACATCATACTACGAAGGGATACTATAAACAATTATGAAATTCGTGTGATATAAATATGGATGACTCCTTACCAAAAGCGTGACTAGTATCTAAAAGTTTCTAAAGCTATGGTATGTCCTGTTTGACCTTCTTCACCTTCGAAAACCCTATATTAGAAGTCGTATTGGATTAAGGTATAAAAATTTATAGGCATTCCATTATTTATATTATTATTATTGTTATGTTACAATAAATGAAAGTGGAAAGTTTTTGCATGATCTCGAACAATTTCGTACTGTAGTATTATGTATGTTTGTGTAGTAGTCAATAAATTCTTGGCGTTTACTATGGATTCAAAATAACACAAATAAGTTAATTTCAATAGTTTTTTTTATTCAATACCTACCTTATACTAGATTACTTTTGTTCCATATAAATAAAAAATTACGCTAATTAAAATTAATTGATTAAATATAAAGGAGATTAAAGATATTAAAATATTTGTCGGGATGTTGCGTCCTCTGACCCGAATGCCTGGTCGCTCATATGACTATGATGAAAGACAATAAATAATTGCCAAAATAGAAATAAAGAAAGATATAATAATGTAATAAATTCAAGAGGAAATTGGTCACCTTAACCTGTTGTTGGCTCACGGACCATAGAGAAAATATGTATAATAATCATTAATAAGGAAGATTAACTAACCGCCAGAAAATAAAATACCATCGTGATCATCCAGAATTCGATGAATGGCGGTCCTCCACCGTGCGTTTTTTCAGAAACATTTTGCCACGCACCAAATTACACACGCACCAATTTATTGTGGAACCGTCCAGCAGTGATATTTCCGAACACATACGCTATAGAAATCTTCAAGAAAACAGCTTTATCCTTCTTAAAAGACCGACATCGCACTTTCAATTTTACTGGTGTTTACGGCGGTAATCACATGGTAACTCATTTCTTCCCAATGATATAGAAGGATTTGCTCTTGCGTGGTTTTAATGAAACCACGACAAAGAACTGACAACCTGACGCGAACTTTTAATTTTTAAAATTAATTGAATAGCTTGGTAACACGTATAATATCTGGTTTACAGTGTGCAGCTGGGCGCGCGGCGTGGCAGGAGGCGGCGGCAGTGTCCGTTGGTGGGGGCGGCACCGGCGCAGGGGGCGCGGCAAGACGCTGCTCCGTGCTCGGCGACCACCCTGGGGCCAGGCGAGACCCACGCGGCAAATGGCACAGAAACAACCGGGTACGTTCGCCAGGCTTAAACGGTAGCGGAGAGCGCGTTTTCCAACAGAAAAGTAGTCCTAGGGGTTCAGCCTTTTAGAGTAACTCGTGTGTAGGCAAACTGTTAAGAATAATTTATTATCTCAGAAGCTTAAGCGCCTTGTGATCGAATACTCGTTCATTCTGTATGATGAAATATATTTTATCCGCAAGGACAAAATATTACTTTCATCAACTGCGTAGAACTTGCATGAGATAGCATTGATGTACATACGTAATATACATATAAAACACCCAGACCCATACAAACAGTCATATTCATTAATAGAAATATTTGTACCTTGCGAGGAATTATATCGGTGATCATCGGAAGTAAGGTGATGTGCTCACTTCACTAGACCGCCGAGAGCGTCAAATTGAAAGTGTCCTTTGAATTGAATGTTTTTTTAATCTAAATTTATTCAGGTGCGAGACGCTTCGTATGGGTCATCATCAGAGTCGGAAGGCGAGGCGGAAGGGACGAGCGGGGAGCCGTGGGGCGTTGCGCGACTGTTATATGCTGGTCTCGGTATCCTCGCCGTGGGGCTCGTCGTATACTTCGTTGGCACCGGGGACAAGGTGTGTGTATATTCTTTAAAATGGATGATATGATGATGCACCTACCAGCACTACCGGTTTGCGCTGTCCAGTCACCAGTGGACAATAACAGGCCCCTGTCCCTTAAACAAACACTTGTACATAATAGGTGCCATAGACAGTCTTTTTTGTCAAGACTGAAGCCGAAGAAACGGCTACTCTCGTAATCCTAGAATGCGTAGCAGTGGCCCCACAACGTACACAAATCTTCGAAACGGTGATGTTGTTACGTGAAGCTTCCGCGCCCAGGTCCAGATGAGAGACTAAATGCGAAGAATAGAGTCCATATTAGGCACCAGTAAATGATGCCAATAGCATGAGGCCAAGTCAGTTAGCACAATGTGACGTGTTTATTACCTATGTAAATCAAGAATTACGAACAGATTATTCGTATTCTATGACTGACATTTTTTGATTTCACTGTGGAATGTTTATAAAATGAATTTGAATGACTTTTTTGATCTTTAATACTTATTGTTTTAAATATATTAGTTATATTTGTTATAAATAGATTACTGTGTAATGTTACAGGGTTTCAAAACGCCAGCTCTACGTCTGGTGGGACCATCGCTCATCATCGCTGGTTTGGCGTGCTGTTTGCTGCGTATCACCTTTTGCATATTTGCAAAGCCTTGCTGCCGACGGCGGACCAATTACAAGGAGAGCAGAAGGTAAACTGGTTTCATCCGTGAAAATATATTATGATAAAGGAAACTATTTTGTTTGAATTCCTGCATTTATATCTGAAGTACGTAAGTCACAATGCGACACGGAATCTTCATTTACTATTTTGTATTTTTGTTAATTTCCACCACTAACAACAACTATTTTTGGTTGAGTCATATGATGATGTGATATGTATAGTATTGTTCATGTACATAGGTGACATTTGGTACTCACACGGCCTACACACGACAATAAAATCAGGGTCAATATCTTCCCAACTCGACAAATGTTTTGTGCAGCGAGATCCGTGTTGCGCTGTGAATTTCCCCCACTACTGCTGTTATATTGCGCCTAATCCGGGCTATTCCCATTTATGTAATTGAAATGGCTCAAATTAGAAAAAGTAAATAATTAAATTTTTGATATATAAAGATATTAGAGGATACGATCTTAGATTTCACGGGTGTAATATGAAAACGATGTCCGTAGTACTGTTCACGTATATAAACGACGGTTACTGCCCACTATCAAGAAATGCAAAAACTTTGTACCTTTTTTTACGAAAATTGGCAAAGACAAAGAAAAAACATTACAGATACTGTATTTGACACACAAATTCATACATACTATTTTGTTTATTGTTAAAGTCTGAAGTAAAATTTCGACCACTGGACGATCACTGGTTTTAATACGCATACTCAATCTGAATTATACTTACGTATAGAGGCACTGTATGTGTTACAGACTGTCCGGATGCGGGGAGGGGGAGGAGATGCCGCTGGCCGGCGGCGCGGCGGGCGGGCTGCGCGGCCTGCGCGCCGGGCCCGCGCAGTGCTCGCCCGCGCGCCGCCTCGACGCCTCCTCCTGCGACGTGTCCAGCCTCTCCAGCGGGGAGGAGGACGAGCGCCTGCGCCGGTACCGCACTGCCTCCGCGCCCTCGCATCTCTCCGTGCATGCTGCCTCGCTGCCGCAGGTACGCTTTACGTTTTTTCTAATTGGATAATAATAATACCCCTGAACGTTTCACAGAGCACCTTTCTAGTCTCAAGTTAAGCTTATGTTACATATACTAAGTAACTGATATATATAGAACACACCCAGACGCATACAAAAAATGATACTTATGAATACAAATGTTTGTACCGTGCGAGGTTTCGTACCCGAGACCATCAGAAGGCGAGCGGTGTGCTAAACTGCTAGTCCACCGAGGTCGTCAATAAATCTGTATTTATATAATTAATATATAAATTTAAAGTTATAGAGTTAAAATTTTCTCTCCTTTTCTTTTTTCAGGTTACTTAGTTGTGGTTAGTGTATAACATTTTTGTTTGTCTCTTTATTTTCGTCAGGGCTCACCGCAGCCGGGTGCGGGCGCACAGAGCAGCTCGCCCGCGACGCCGCGGCCGGCCCTGGCGCTGCAGGCGAGCGCGCTGGCGGGCCCGGCGGGTGTGGCGGGTGTGGCGGGGGCCGCGGGGGTCGCGGGGGCCACCGCGGGGGTCGCGGGCCCGCGCCGGCCGCCGCCGCGCAACGTGTCGTTCGCCGGCGCCGCCGACGGCGAGCTCGTGCTCAGCCCCGCCCAGCTGCGCTCCTAACGAAGCAATAAACGTTCTCGCAATACCCCCTTTTTATATCCCCACCGGACGATCTGACTCTATCGATTCGGATATCGATCATGTGATAGCGTGAGACTCTGAGTGATTTTTCTATACGATAAGCTACGGGTCGTCGATTATTTGCACGTTTGGATATATTCTCGCATGCTCTCGATATTTGTATCAGTTTTTAATGGTTTGCTCGTTTTTGAACTTCGTCTTATCGGATTGGGTGTATGTGCATATAATGTGTAACTAATGCGGTAAAGAAATATTTTTGACCTAAAAATTATATTTATAAAATCATTAATATACATAATAAATGTGTTCAAATATTCCAACCCAAACAAATAGTACCTATTTGTATAATTATATTAAAACTAAACGTATTGTTACACATTGTATGTTACTCTAAATTGATTTTTTGTACTATAAATAACCCGCTTTTATTCCATGATCAGTGAAGCATCTATTTGAGAAACTGCCAGACCTAAGTGTTTCCGGGTAGGTATTGGGCTGTGAAAACTTCAAAATCTATTCAATATATGACGTTAATACTAAGTACATTATTATTTATGTATGTATCTAAAATCATATTAAGCTTTGATGTTGCGCGATATTTAGCACAAACTTAAGACACTATTTAGCATACAAAAAAAAAATACAATCCATCGATATGTGGAAAACGTCACCTCACCATTTGATGCCCAGTTACCATTCAGAAGGATTAAAATGTCAGATTTCTGTACTCTGTAATTTCAATGCCTTATCTTACCCTTTAACTGAAATAGAGCTTACAACATCAAGCTGTCTAGCTACTGAAGTGAGACAGAATCAACGCAGACAAACAACGTTGTACAAAACCCTACTAATAAAAGTGCGTACGTAACGTGGATAAAATTTCATTTATTCTTAAAGATAGATGTATTAGGTTCTTTTTCATTTTAGTATTGTGTATTATGTAAAGATACTAAATAATTAACGTCATATATTGAAAGTAAAGCGAACTACCCGCCATTTTTTGCCGTCGTACATGTTCGTATATTATATTTAAATTAAGACGTTCATTCAAAGTTTGTAGCAATTTAATATTGAATGTGCTAGATCCATCCGTCTTAAAGCCAACTAGTAAATATACTGCAAACAGAGGTGTGGTCTTATTGTTTATAACCACAGATAAGATATTCTATAACTAATAGCCATAAATAAAAAATAATAGTTTATTGGTACAAATCATTATGATGAGAGTTACACATAATTCTTTAAAAACAATGGAATTTTTAATTTACTCCGTATCTGTCTAATTTACTTAATATCATAAATGATTAATTAAGTTAAGATAATTAGGTTAGGTTGTATTAAATATCGTATTTTTTTTTATTTTACAGCACCACGGATATCACTTTATCATGTGATGTCCGCTGCCAGTCCAGGAAACTAATCTGTCATGCCGCACTCTGTGTATTAATAATAGGATAAAATAATATGATTTATTTGTCTATGCAGGAATTGATTAAATGCAAATGATCAAGGAATTGAATATTTGGTGCATTTTTACTACTACGGTAGAAAAGACTATAGATCTGTACACTTGATAAAATATTTGGAGAAAAATAAGATATTAATATTCAAGAAAAAACGACCAAGTCGTTTCATTACATTAAAGACCACACCTCCAGACAGTATGAAATTAAATAGTGAATTAAATATAAACATTGTGTTAAAACTGCCTACTACTAGACGCGAATTTATATATATATAAATAAATTCATAAATAGATATATAACTGACAATAATGATTGTTAACTGATGTATAAAATGTTATGGCGTATGTGCGTGACTTTATTTTAAATTATGTCCAAACGATACTTGTAGTTCAAGCGCCGAGTGTAATTCAATGTAGCATATAATCATTGTATTAAGGATATCTTTAAAATTAACGAAGTACCCTATATTACGTCAGTATCTGGTCTGTTTTAGTTACAAACAGATCTATATAAATTGTAACTGAAATTGTCATGCTATGGTAATAGTACATATAATGTTACTGTCAATTTTTATTTATTTCAGATGAGAATAGTTGGCAACCAAGTCGCATATTTTATTATTGCAGAATATACGCGTATATATAGTAAACAATTTATGAATGAGGATTGAAATCATTCTTTGACAGAATGAGACGTTGAAAACTGGAGTAATTTTATATGGGTATGTAATCAATATGTATTGTAATCAAAATGTTGATGTTTAACCTTACTTTAAAAAATATATATATCATCATACCTATTCAGGATGTGGGACTAATTTCATTTAATCTGACCTACATCTCAGTGATAAACTGTTTTCAAGTGATGTCACAGTTTAGTAATGTACTATATTACTGAATATTTCTGGATACAAATAGTGTTTTCATCCAAGAACTTACTCGATGGGTATAAAAATGTTTTCCTACGTTAGTTCTATGTCTATTGTATTGATAAAGTTATACCCGTATAATAATAATATACTACAATGATTAAATTTCTATATTAACTTGGCGTATGAACTACGTATATACACCAAAAATATAATAAATATAGTTAGCTAAATACATAATGTTTGGTGTATAGCGAGTGATACTGTGTAACAGTAACTATACTTATGTTATGTGTAACTATGATAAATTAACATACATACCTACATGTGTGTTACGCGTGCGTTGTATATGGCACAATATAGTGTTTACTGTTTATAAATATATTATATATTTTAGAAATATTTGCACCTTTAGTAGTGAAATATAATGTATATCTGCAGACTTTAATTAGAATATGATATGAAGGTGACGAATAACTTTTTGTGAGTAAAGTGTATAACACGTTTCGAAGTTAAGTTTCTATATGACGAAACAGAAAACATGTACCTATTGTAAAAGATTTTGATTAGTTTTTGTCAATTATACCTTGGTAATCAGATTAATGTAGTTATTTTATATTATTTAATCTAAGAATGGTCAATTACTTGTTTTCGTGATAAGATTTCGAAATCTCACTTCCTTTTATCTTATATTTACCGCTTGTATCAATATATTTAAAATAGCACGAACATTATCTACCTTGGTTGACATAAATTTATTTACAGAAAATGAGATAATTATATTACCTATTAATAAAGTAATTTATTTACATAACAATGGAGTAAATATATATTTTATATTTAATTAATATTATGGTTCCTATCTATTACAAAAATATTCTGCAAGAGTTATAACAAGTATACTAAACAATTCTTAGATAATTGTATACTAAATATGTAACTACTTACAATGATTTTAGGTGAAACCTTCAAGCTGAAATTGTATTGGAAAACAAAATGGATGGCCTAAAATCTAATGTAATTCCAAATTATATACATGTTTACAAAATCAAATACATTAATACTCGTAACGTATAGATGTTAAGAAAAATATGAGCTTCGTTTAGACTAACTGGCTTGTGTAACAAAGTGTTGTGTAAATTAACGAAATAGATGTCCATCAGATACATTGTCATCCTCTTTCGTTTCTTCATGTTTATCTATGTTTTATTCAGTATGTTTTTCTTGTAACGTAGGTAAACACATAATTCTATATTTTTGTGGAGCGATATATGGAATTTCATTTTTATTGTTATAATCCAAGCGCACATAACTGGTGACAGGGTTAATTTATTTTTGTCTATCAGCAGGCGAATTTTCATTTACTTTCATAGATGTTTTACCAACTGTCTAATTCGGTATCGACGGTTCAAGAATGAAATTCGTATTCAAATTTTACGAAGGGAAATTCGTCTGCTCATTTACTAAATCTAAGATAGATAAGTTTATAAAAAATTAAACTATTGTTAACTAAAAAAAATGCATTTTCACATCTATAACACCAATGTTTTATTTTCAACGCTCGCTATTATATAATTCTATAAATAGTTATAATTTTAGACTTTAGCATTTATACATTCCTATATAAATATTTTGTTTGGTAAAGAGGAAAATAAGCAATTTACTAACAGATACTTTAAGTTCCGTTAATATTTGCGTCAATTTCGCTAAGATGGAATTTTTCAATGATACTGTGAGCCAGAGAGTTTTGTGTGTTATACGTTTTATATTTATACTAAATATTTAAAAACTATTCTAACTTGTTTTGAGTGTTTAACGGATGATCTTACGTACTATATAATGTATTTCAATAAATTTTGTGCATATTTGTGCTTCCATAAGCTTGCATGGAAAATGTTGCTTCTTAATGTTTCCTATAAAGTGATATCGAGATAGATTTCTTCTAGAATAATTTTGTTAAGTGAAACATTGTTTTAAAAGGCCTATGGAACTATACTTTGATAACAATAGCTATTTGAGTGATGTTTTATTCGGAATATATTGATATGTATATATAATTTATGAGATTGCGTTAGTGACATGTTCATTAAAATGTCAATATTTGGATACTGTTGTTGATATTAAAGTATAGACAGACCGCAAAATTTATTAGTAGGAAAGTTCATAGTGTTTCTACAGTTCACATAGTAAATACTATGAAGTTTAGAGGTAAGGAGATTTTATATGGTAACAAAGTAGCACATGCCCCGCTGCAGTGTGGTCTAAATCCCTCCAGAATAGCGCTAGAGTAACAAGAGGGTATGACGTGAATTTAACAGTTGTTATTGGAAGATAGCTTCGGAGCTTAAATTATATTCATATATAATTTTTTTCATCGTTAATAAATGCGATTATTGTTTGGTTTATTTTAATCAGTTAATGACTAATTAAAAGTTTAACTTCCTCATTCATAAAGAATACCAATGTTCTATACCTAAAGGTTTTACTTAATCTATTAAAGTGTGTTCTCGTATACTCTATCTACAATTATCTTCAATTGAAAAAAAAATTTTGAAACATTGTGTTTTTAACATACACATTTATCTAAAATACGCTTGTGGGAGAATTCTGTTTTTTCGTGAATATAGGAATTATAATCTAAAAAG